TATAAGACAAATATATGATTACCTCCCATTAAATATCTAAAAATTGTATTTTTTGAGTAATAACGTTCACAATTACATCAATAAACTTTATTTATAAAGTCGGGATTCCGACGAAAGAAGGTGGGTTATTTTAGGGTTCCGTAGCTAGATGAAATTGGGAACCTCTGCTTTAGCAAAGATGGCTTCTGTGGTGCCAATGCAAATTTCGTTCACTTTATAAATTTATAATTATTTTATAACGTAACGTTTTTGATAAAAGACGCAATCACAATTTCAAAATGATTTTTCGAAACCAGTCAAAGTTGTTAACCAGAGCTCAAACTCGTTTATTATTATCTAATTGTTAGTTCTCCAAAAGATAAATTTTAACTTGTTTATCTTCTATCAGTTATATGATTTCTTGAATTTATATGGTTTGCTATAAAAATTGGCTGTTATGCAATACAATTTACTTTTTAAAGTATTCTAGGCAGTGTATTTGTGCGACGCAGTGAGGAAATTATTTTTACTATGAAATAATTTTTACTGTGAAATTGCAAGACATTTTTTTATAGTTTAATTACAATAAAACTTTACAGTTAAAATGATAAAAACATTACAATTGCAACATTTTCCCTCACCTACTTCTTTTTTAAAGAGAAGATATTGAGAGAATTATACGTATATATTGGCGTTTACTTCAAAATGAAAATTTTCCATCATATTGGAATCGTAAAGATGTATTTTAGTATTTGCTAAGGACTTTAGTTTTTCACTTGTAACCTTCCTAGAAAGATTTTCTTTATTTTATCCAAACTGACGGTTTGGAATTTGTCGATTGGCTTTCAGCAGAAAATAAAGTTGAAATCTTTATTTTTAAATTCTAAAGCTATTGCAATTTAATATTATGACTGATTCTAAATCTTTTATCTAGGGAAATTATTAAGAATCTAGATTAGTTTTTCTGCAGTTTCTTTTACAAACTGATTATATACTTCTTTGAAAAAAGAAATAATTGGCTACTGGAATTAAAGAAAAAATATTTTTATCTCATCATTATTCTTCTAAAAAAAGAAGCTGCACTTTTAAGAAAAACAAATGTATATTGTGCTCGTTTTAATACAATATTAATTCCCTAAAAGATAAAAAAAAATATATAAAATTACATTTTATCTAATTATGTGAGCTGTTTATTTTTATAAAGCTCATTAAGCAGGATTTAGAAACACTATAACCATTTTTTCGCGAGATAACAATAATAATAACATTAAAAAAAAACTTCTGCTAATGAAATAAATTCTTTGCCTTCTCAAGTCAACAAAATTTGCGTTTAACTAATGGCATATTATCGAGCAAACTCGACTAACTAATGAAAATCGACTTGTTAATCTAGAAAGGCTTTGTAGTGTAATGATCAAGTTCCTTTACAGTTTTTTTAATTAATCTTTGTGCCAATAGGTGGCAGCATAAGTCTTAAAATTTTCTGCTAATGACTGTGAGAAAAAACCTTTTTTCTAAACTTCTAAATTTTTAATAAAAATGTAATAATTAATTTTATTGTTCAATATTGTAATTTTAACTAAGAATAAGTTTTATGTAAGCCTTTAATTTTATATATTTCACTTTTTAGTTGTAAATTTAATTTATACTTTTTATAATTACTTATACTGTATGGTGGCAACCCACAGGGTCAGATGATGAAAAAATGATTATGTTGATACATGGAGTTGGTGTTCATATGATAAGGATGGAAGTGTGACAACAAAATAGGATGGTATGAGGGCTAAGGAGTGATCAGGTGAGGGAGAGATATATAGCTTGTAAGATATCGATGAATAACTATCCTGCCTAAACTGATTTTTCACGAATTGAATATAGTGTGATGATGTGAATAACGGTGTGTGTCACCGGGCATTAATTGTGCTAACCATAGTGAGATTCCGCACGTTGTTATGGGCAAGTAGCACGTGTTGTTCATCCTCCATCTGAAATAGTGTGGCTATCTGTATAGCTAAGTATAATCAACCACCATCTGAATAAGGGGGGCAATCTGTATTGTTATGAAAACTGGATAACGGTATATCTTTTCTCTCATTTTTTGAATTTTGATGTAAGCCAGTGCGCGATGATGAGCTGGTACCACATGTATTGTGATATGAATTTTTAAAATGTTTTTTAATCAAGTCCCTTAAGGACTTAATCGCTTTTTAATTAATTTAATAAACTCTTTTATTTAATTTAATACCTAAAACTGTATTTGTTTTCTTGTTGTATGATGAGGGTGTTATTTTTTACTTTGCAGCTATACAGGTAAGGTATCCCATGCTGGAGAATTGGGGATCATTAATAATTAAATTAGCTTAGGAATGAAATACACAGCGCGATGTTAAGGAATAACGATACGATACGGTACAGTAGATTATTTGTATGGTGGCACTCTTTTTTATCATAATTCGATACCTGCAAGTGACGGAGTGTGTGCATAATGATCTTAATTGGTTATTGAAGCGAGGCATTTGTTTATGTTAGCAACTGTTCGTTTCATTCTATTTAGAGTAAGCCTAGCCATCCATGTATCAGTTCTTTTAAGTGACACATTCCATATTCGTGCACAAAGATTTCAATTCTTTCACTATTTACATCTTGCTTACCACAGAGACAGAAACGAACCCATGTAGAACATAAGCAAACTATGCATATAGATGCACTAGAGCAGTGATGGGGAAACTACGGCCAGCGAGCCAAGTCCGGCCCGCGGAAAGGTTTGATCTGGCCCGTTTAAGAGTGCCGTCGTGAGAATGTTTGAACGCGTTCTTACTTCGTAATGTGACGACCCGCATAAAAACTACCTGCGGCGATATTCAAAACACAAGAGTATTCTGGACAAATCCATCCGACCTAAACAGATGACTCATCTTCGCTCGAAACTTCCAGACACTCTCGCATTTTCGATTCATTGTACTGTTTTCTCGAAAGAACCGGAAAAATCCAATTCCCGAACAATCCTTGCAGGTAGGTATAAATACAAGCGAGGCCGCCCGAAAATCAGTCAGTTAGCGACTTAGTCAGTAATCTGCAACGACCCGCTGTGACTCGAGTAATTGTTTGTGTAATCCCCGAAACTCCCACTGCCTCCTCAGAAGACTCAAAAGCAGTTCTAAACTGATTTTCGTTCCTACACTGGAGTGGCAATTTTAATCTTCCAAAATAGAACTCAATCTTGCCTGGGAAATATAAATTCATAAAGTTCTCCAAAATATAACAGGCCATTAATTGACAGTTATCAAAATATTGAAGAACTATTTTAATTTCATGAATACAGAATTTTGCCCATGAATATCCAAAGGGGAGGGTACTGTGACGTCACATGAAAATGAATTGACCAATCACAACCAAAAAGCTTCGCGATTTGCGTCTGCTCTAGTTCTTGTTTCCTTTGCTTCAAACTGCTTTACAATTTTTGTATTAACGTTATAAAAGTTTTATAAAATTATAATTTCATTTTAAGAGGACCCGCGCAAGAGCATTAGTTAGCAGTAAGCTTTCGTCAATTGCGTTTCTGTGTGTTGTTCTCCGTAGTAGGTAACGTCTAAAATGGATGTTAAAAAAAGAAAAGTGGATTCAGAATGTCGAGTTTTTAAAGAAGAATGGACATGGAAATATTTCTTTACTTTATTTAAAGAAAAACCTGTGTGCTTACTTTGCAATACAACTGTTGCAGTTTTAAAAGAATATAACATTCAACGCCATTTCAAGAGAAAACATGAAAACCACTCCTACTCATCGTTAAGTGAAGAGGTGAAAAAAATTAAATCGAAAGATTTAATAAAAAATTTATCAAGTCAACAACAATTATTTCAGAGAGCTAATCATTCTTAAAGATGCGCTACGAAAGCCAGTTATGTGTTGGCTTATAATATTGCTAAATCTAATAAAGCATTTTCAGATGGGGAATTTATAAAGCAGTGCATGATAGATGTGTCGATATTATGTGCCCTGAAAAGAAAAATGATTTTCAGTCACTGTCTTTCTCAAGAAGAACAATCACCGAGAGAATTGAAAATATTGATAAAAATCTAATTTCACAACTTACTACAAAAACTCAAAAATTTATTTTTTATTCAATTACCATGGATGAAAGTACAGATATCAGCGATACTGCACAGTTACTCATATTTGTAAGAGGAATCAACACCCACTTTGAAATTACAGAAGAACTTGCACTTGCAGGGCTGCAGTCAATGAAAGGAACAACGACTGGTGCCGATATATTTTGTGAATTTGAAAATTGCATCGATAAACTTCGTTTACCTATTGATAAGTTATGTAATGTACTATCTACAGATGGTGCTCCTAATATGGTTGGAATCAATCAAGGATTTGTTGGGAAATTTAATTCTAAGTATCCGGAAAATGATGTTTTTTTGCATTGCCTTATACATCAGGATGCTCTCTGTAAATCGGCTTTAGATATTGACCATATACTTAATATTGTTGTAAAACTAGTAAATATGATTCGTTCCAGAGGATTATTACATCGCCAGTTTCAACAGTTTTTGGAGTCCGTACATGCTGAGCATTCCGATATCCTGTATAACTGTATTATTCAAAAGTTTGCTGGTTAAGTGCTGGAAAAGTATTTGAAAGAATTTGGGATTTAAAAGACGATATTGTTAATTTTCTTCTTGATCAAGACATTTATAATCAATTTGACGTCTTAGAAAACGAAACGTGGCTTTCTGATTTCGCTTTTTTTCACAGACCTCCTCGTACACATGAATATACTTAATCTCAAATTGCAAGGGAAAAATCAGTTTCTTCACGATATTCGGCAATACCTGAAAAGTTTCAAATTATAGTTATTATTATTTGCTAATCAGATCTCTAAATCTGATTTTTCTCATTTTCCAAGAATACAATCTTTAAAATTCACTATATCAAACAATAAGATTAAAAAATACGAAATTAATTTGAGAAAACTATCTTCAGAATTTGAAAGGAGATTTCAGGACTTTAGAAAAATGGAACCAGAGTTTAGTATTTTTGCGACCCCATTCAATGTTAATTACGAAGAAGTTGATGCAAAATTTCAACTTGAGTTAATAGAACTGAACTGTAATACTCTCCTGAAACAAACTTTTCATACAGTACCATTACTAGAATTTTATAAAAATTTAAGTCCAGATAATTTCCCAAATCTAATTACTCATGCAATGAAGATAATGACAATGTTCGGCTCATCTTATATATGCGAACAAATCTTTTCAACAATGAAGCTTAGGAAAACTTCTTTAAGAAACAGAATTACAGATGAGCACCTTTCATCAGTTTTAAGAATTTCTGCTTCGCAAATGGAACCGGACTATGATGAAATTTTGAAGAAACAGTCTCAATTTCATTTTTCTCATGCACCATCAACCAGTAATGACACCAGAAAATAAAGTGATAATACTTCACATCAAGAACTACACTAAATTCATTTTATATTTTGTGCTTATAATTTTCTTACCTTTTGCTTTTTTACTATTAAAATAATAAGTGTATGTAATAATATATGTATATGTTTTTAGTGGAAATATTTCTTTACTTTATTTAAAGAAAAACCTGTGTGCTTACTTTGCAATACAACTGTTGCAGTTTTAAAAGAATATAACATTCAACGCCATTTCAAGAGCAAACATGAAAACCACTCCTACTCATCGTTAAGTGAAGAGGTGAAAAAAATTAAATCGAAAGATTTAATAAAAAATTTATCAAGTCAACAACAATTATTTCAGAGAGCTAATCATTCTCAAAGATGCGCTACGAAAGCCAGTTATGTGTTGGCTTATAATATTGCTAAATCTAATAAAGCATTTTCAGATGGTGAATTTATAAAGCAGTGCATGATAGATGTGTGCGATATTATGTGCCCTGAAAAGAAAAATGATTTTCAGTCACTGTCTCTCTCAAGAAGAACAATCACCGAGAGAATTGAAAATATTGATAAAAATCTAATTTCACAACTGACTACAAAAACTCAAAAATTTATTTTTTATTCAATTACCATGGATGAAAGTACAGATATCAGCGATACTGCACAGTTACTCATATTTGTAAGAGGAATCGACGCCCACTTTGAAATTACAGAAGAACTTGCAGGGCTGCAGTCAATGAAAGGAACAACGACTGGTGCCGATATATTTTGTGAATTTGAAAATTGCATCGATAAACTTCGTTTACCTATTGATAAGTTATGTAATGTACAGATGGTGCTCCTGATATGGTTGGAATCAATCAAGGATTTGTTGGGAAATTTAATTCTAAGTATCCGGAAAATGATGTTTTTTTTTTTTGCATTGCCTTATACATCAGGATGCTCTCTGTAAATCAGCTATAGATATTGACCATATACTTAATATTGTTGTAAAACTAGTAAATATGATTCGTTCCAGAGGATTATTACATCGCCAGTTTCAACAGTTTTTGGAGTCCGTACATGCTGAGCATTCCGATATCCTGTATTATTCAAAAGTTTTGAAAGAATATTTGGGATTTAAAAGACGATATTGTGAATTTTCTTCTTGATAAAGACATTTATAATCTATTTGACGTCTTAGAAAACGAAACGTGGCTTTCTGATTTCGCTTTTTTTCACAGACCTCCTCGTACACATGAATATATTTAATCTCAAATTGCAAGGGAAAAATCAGTTTCTTCACGATATTCGGCAATACCTGAAAAGTTTCAAATTACAGTTATTATTATTTGCTAATCAGATCTCTAAATCTGATTTTTCTCATTTTTCAAGAATACAATCTTTAAATTTCACTATATCAAACAATAAGATTAAAAAATACGAAATTAGTTTGAAAAAACTATCTTCAGAATTTGAAAGGAGATTTCAGGACTTTAGAAAAATGGAACCAGAGTTTAGTATTTCTGCGACCCCATTCAATGTTAATTACGAAGAAGTTGATTCAAAATTTCAATTTGAGTTAATAGAACTGAACTGTAATACTCTCCTGAAACAAACTTTTCATACTGTATCATTACTAGAATTTTATAAAAATTTAAGAGCAGATAATTTCCCAAATCTAATTACTTATGCAATGAAGATAATGACAATGTTCGGCTCATCATGCCGAACAAATCTTTTCAACAATGAAGCTTAGGAAAACTTCCCTTACGAAAATTTAAGGTATATTTATGGTTGATTTGAGGTATTTTTGAGATATTAAGGTTGATTTGAGGTATATTTAAGGTAGGTATATTTAAGGTTGCAGAGAAAACAGCAATAAAAATTATACCTCGTAAGGGTTATATTTAAGGTGTAACAGGTTGTTTTATATGCACTTCAGCTTGTTTTGAGGTTGTTTAAAATTCACTTCAAATCAACCAGACTGATAAGGTGATTTTTGAAGTATACCAAGTTGATTTTCTTACACTTGTAACAAAAGAGGTATTTTTGAGGCATAAAATTTTTTACCTTGTTTCAACTAAAGAGAGTGAGGTATATGGAGTAATTTTATTTACACCTACGCCTATTTTGAGGTTGTTTTAAATCCACTTCAAATCAACCAGACTGATGAGGTGATTTTTAAGGTATACGAGGTTGTTTTTTTTACACTTGTATCAAAAGAGGTATTTATGAGGTATAAAAAAATCAACCTTATTTCAACTAACGAGAATAAGGTATGTACGAGGTATAAAAAAATATATCTTTTTCCAATTAAAGAGAGTGAGGTATTTATTGAGGTATATGAAGTGGTTTTATTTATACCTAAGCTTATTTTGAGGCTGTTTTAAAATCACTTCATATCAACCAGACTGATAAGGTGATTTTTAAGGTATACGTGGTTGTTTTTCTTATACTTGTAACAAAAGAGGTATTTATGCGGTATTAAAAAATTAACCTTATTTTAACTAATGAGAATGAGGTATTTTCGAGATGTAAAAAATTATACCTTTTTTCTACTGAAGAGAGTGAGGTATTTACGAGGTATAAAAAATATACCTTATTTCAACTAAAGAGAGTGAGGTATTTATTGAGGTGTATGAAGTCATATTATTTATACCTAAGCTTGTTTTAAGGTAGTTTGAAGTACACTTCATATTAACTAGCTAACTTCCCAGAGTTCCGTGCAAGCCGGCAAATGGCGTGTGTGTTGACAATCGGAAGTTTATTTGAAATTCGGTAAGTGTGCTTGACATTTATTAATTTAGTTTTATCACTTTTATTCAAGTATGCCTCAATTTTCAAACTTAAATTTCGTTATTTTTGTTTTAAAGACACCTCCTGATCTTAAATAATTTAAGTTGGAGGATATTCTTAGAAGCTATAAGTGTAGGCTTAGCAATAAGAGAGAACAATCGAAATATTTCTCGTCGCTGTTTAGGGTAACGTTACTGGTGAATCGTTACAGCAGGTTATGCACAGTATATTTTATTGCTTGTAATTTATTCAAATATAACTATTCTTCTATTTTGCCTAAATGTATATGTTTCAACGTTGCAGTATGCAACCTGATTAGTTGAGTAAAATGTTCATAATTTCTCTTATGAATAAATCATTGAAAATTGAAAGATCTTTGAAATAGCAATTTCGCTTTGAAATTCTACTATAGCTGTATGCTTATCGTTTGCTTGGATATTTGTTGCAAAGTTTATATTGTTGTTTATGACTGAAAATATGTATAATAACACTGCATTTTAAATCTGATTAACATGCAACTTCTTTTTCTTATATATATATATATATANTCTGCTCAGCCTTCCCCTAGGAAATAGTTCTGAATTTATACCATAAAGAAAAAATAATCTCTCCTAATAAACTACAGCATTTATTCAATTGTTGATAACAATAGTTTGTTAGATATTTGATAATTGAAAACTAGTAACTGTACTAGCTCACTTTTTTATGCTTGATCACACTGCTATTTTCCCTACGTGTTATTTTTTCTCAAATCACCCACGATAACTATTTACAAAGCAGATTGTTATTACTTATTAAAATATTGAACAGAATTGAAATTTTAAACCCGATTTCAAGTTTATATGGCAATTTGTTTCAAGGTTATGAGCATTTTTATGCAGCTGTTTATGGTTCACTACTTCAAAAATTAGCGACATTCGGAAATCTTACAATTTTTAGAAATAAGTCATTGTAGTTTCTTATGCAATTTTAACGCTGAATTGAATAAAATCAATTGCAAATAAAGACATTTATTGTTGAAACTAATATGCAATTTTTTGAATTTCATCTTATGGGATGTGTTTTTATGCTTAAACAAATGTTTGTAACAACTTACTATTAGTTTTATTCTGCTTGGTATTATAAATTATACAGGAGATATTTTACTCAACTTATTTTGAAAGTATTATTTCAAATCATTCTCTCTTAGTCATTTTCCTCGCATAAAATTACTCACAACTTTAAAATAAATGCTCCTTATCAACTTGTAATTTGTTTTATTCGATCGAGTGTAAAAAAAGAATGAAAATTGATACACAACTTTAAAATTTAATTTATTAAACGACTGTTGATTCTTGATTACATTTGTTAAAAAATATTTAAATAACCATTTTATAAGAAACTCTTATGCAATTGACAATAACGGAAGTCCTTTTTAGAATAAGCGTCTAAAATTTATAAAAAAGCTATTAGTTTTATAAAGTCTGACAAAAAGTATAAAAATATATAGACTAGGTTTATTGAGTTTAAAGATTTGTAAGAAAAAAAGAAAGAAAATATAATTATCAAACTTACAAGTACCATAATGATACCAAATGTATAGAAAAATACTAAGTGTTAAAATTGCATATTAAGATTGGAATTATATATTTGAATTTCTGTAAAGGTTGTTAATGGTAGTACTGACTTCAGTGTAGTTTATTTTGTGGCTGTGGTACCTGTCATGCTTTTTAGCTATGAGGATTGAATAGAAATGGCAGAAGAGTACTACTATTTATCTGAAAAAGAAAATTAACTTCATCCAGTTAATTTAAATCTTAAAAAAAAATTAATTTCTAACATTTTAATAGTTTAAAACCTGCCGCTATTATTGTAGATATGACTTTCTTACTCATTCATTTTTTTTTCTTTTAGGTTCCAATAATTACAAGTTTCAACAGGTAGACGGAAACAGTATTTAAAATAATTTTGTTTATTTGTAAAAAAATTAAATTTTAATTTTAAATAAAAGTATTTGAATTTCAACTGACTAATTATTTAAATTTGTAGTTTCATAGCTTAAGAAATTCAAGCACATTAGACAACTATCTTCTAAAAATATGAGATCCCATAAATAATTTTTACTAATTGTAGAATTTGGATAAGTGTTATTTTAAGATGATTTAATTCAATCTATTAAAATTACAGAAGAATTATGCATTTAAAATTTTCTTTTATAACTTAACAAAAAAAGCAATTTCTGCTGAAGGTTTAATATTAAAAACTTCAGATTGATAAATGAAGATCTCTACTAGTGAAACAAATGTAATGACATACATTATTCCTCATATAATATAGATAATATCTTTATATATATTATATTTTTTACATAGTGAGGTTGAAAATTAATAAACTAGGTGGTCCGTATAACACCTCACCTTCGTCAGTACTGAAAAAACAGCTTTAGGTTGAGCTACATAGGCCTGAAGTGTAAAATGTCGCATCTTTGGTTGACAAATTAATACGTCTAGAAATACAAAAATATATACTTCAGGTTACGAAATAATAACTTAAGATAGAACATAGAACACATGACGTTAATAAAAAATAACCTTTCCAAGTGCTGAAAATACACTTCAGGTTGATTTATAACAACTAGAAGTGTAAAACGACGCACCACAGGTTGATAAATATATACCTCAAGAAAAATAAAATTAAATACCTGAGGTTGAAAGATAATTACCTGAGGTAGAACAAAATACACCTGAAGTTGATTTATAACTACCAGAAGTGTAAAACGACACTCCATTGGTTGATAAATATAAACCTCTACAAGCATAAAATTAAATACCTGAGGTTGAAAAATAATTACCAGAGGTAGAACAAAATACACCTGATGTTGATTTATAATAACCTGTAGTGTAAAATGACACACCTTAGGTGGTTGAATAAATACTTCCACAAGTGTAAAAAAATATACTTCAGGCTGATAAGTAATAACCTAAGGTTGAAAATGAAACACTTTAAAGTAGTAAATATCTACCTCTCCACAGATGTAAAATTAAACACCTCAGGTTGGAACATATATACCTCTGGAGGTATATTTAGGTATATTTGAGTTTCATTTTGAGGTATTCATTTGCACTCTTTTCAACCTTAACGACGTATTTAAATAACAACTTCCTTTAAACCTTTAAAATATACCTCGTTTATACCTCATTTATACCTCTACTTTTTCATAAGGGTTCTTTAAGAAACAGAATTACAGATGAGCACCTTTCATCAGATTCAAGAATTTCTGCTTCGCAAATGGAACCGGACTATGATGAAATTTTGAAGAAACAGTCTCAATTTCATTTTTCTCATGCACCATCAACCAGTAATGACACCAGAAAATGAAGTGATAATACTTCAC